TAACAACAAAATAATCCAGAAAAACGCATGTCAAAAATGTTATAAATTGATTGTCATTTTAATGAGGGAAATAAGTATTTGACCCCCTCTCAATCAGAAAGATTTCTGTCTCCCAGGTGTCTTTTATACAGGTAACGAGCTGAGATCAGGAGCACACTCTTAAAGGGAGTGCTCCTAATCTCAGCTTGTTACCTGTATAAAAGACACCTGTCCACAGAAGCAATCATTCAGATTCCAAACTCTCCACCATGGCCAAGACCAAAGAGCTCTCCAAGGATGTCAGGGACAAGATTGTAGACCTACACAAGGCTGGAATGGGCTACAAGACCATCGCCAAGCAGCTTGGTCTGACCTCTGTGATTGCCAACAAGGGTTTTGCCACCAAGTACTAAGTCATGTTTTGCAGAGGGGTCAAATACTTAATTCCCTCATTAAAATGCAAATCAATTTATAACATTTTTAACATGCGTTTTTCTGGATTTTTTTGTTGTTATTCTGTCTCTCACTGTTCAAATAAACCTACCATTAAAATTATAGACTGATCATGTCTTTGTCAGTGGGCAAACGTCAAATACTTTTTTCCCCTCACTGTATAAACCAAAATATGAACGTAATAAACAAGACATATCCACACTGCGGGTGGTTTACTTGCTTCAAGTTGCTTGTAAGGAAGCCACAGTTACACACAGTGAATGCACACCAATATTGTACAATGCTGCTAGTGAAGATGTGTCAATCTGCTGTTTTACATATCAGAACAAAAAACGTTATATAAACACAAATTAGTACAAGATGTGATCAAGGTTGGAGTTGAAAGGGTTAGAATCAAAATTATATTTTCAGGGATGATTCGACACCATTTACATTGTAAATTGTGGTAGAATGATCTGATTACAGTCTTATAAGCGTGTTACACTTGTTGAAGCTAATTTACAATGGTACTGTAGTCTCTTACCTTACAATAAACCATCTGTTCCTGTCCATACTACCAAGTGCTTCAATAACACTTAAGAAATACCAACAGTAAAGCCTAAATGCTTGTTTTTTCTGTGTGTGTATGTGTGGGGGGGGATTTAGACGGTGGTGGTGTGTGTGTGTCGGGGTGGGGAGGGGAGGGCAGTGACCATAGTCAGTCATTTCCATGGTTTGCCACAGTAAGGTCAAGGAGTACTTTGGGAGCAATGGAGGGAGTAAAAGAAGAGTTAGCCGTGAAACATTTGCTCACAACTGTCTCATCTGTGTTCCCTCCCTCTTCCTCTCCCCCCTCCTCGTCAACAGATCTTCTTCGTTAGAAACAACATACACCTTTTTATTTTTTTTACCTTTGTTAAAAAGAAATCATAATAATAAAAATAATACAATCTGAAATCTGTCCTACGGCGTCTGGCACGCTTGGCAGACCCCTCTCCCCAAAGTTTAACACTTGTGCTTCATAGCCAGCTGCGGAGAGGAGAAATAGAGGGGGAGGAGACATAAGAGGGTACATGTTAGCCATAGTGAGCTGTGGAGATATATAAACATCATACAGTGACTAAGCGAAACGACAAAGCAATTTAACTGAACATTTCTTCAACAGCCCCTATGGGGTTGCCAAAAATAATTAAAACACTATAAGATGCCAAATATATTAATTTATAGAAACTGCACAAACTAAAGCTAGCACATTAAAATACGACCACCAACAAATAAAAGTAAAATAACCTCATTTATGCTGCTTTGTTTTCCCACCTGGTGGAGGCTAATATGGTTAGCATGGTGAGTAATAGAACTGGGAAGCAGGGTCTATTCTCTAGGCAGAGAGGAATTATAGCTATTAGGGTGGTGTTATTCCTGAGGCGTTGTTAAGTGGCCCAGGCCCCAGTGTTTTCATCAGGCAGTGACTGGTCACTCGGAGACTTCATTCATCTCATTAACGAGAGTTCTAGCGGGCCTGGCTGGAGGCTCATTAAGGAGAAGGCCAGGGTCACCAATCTAATTCATGCAAGCGCACGCACGCACACACGTTTCAAAATAGAGGTTGTGAAATCTCCTTAGCTAACAAGTGGGGGCAGCAGAGCTGCAGCACAGACCAGACGGCCGTAGCTCCTGCTGTGGGGATGGTGAGAGCTCAACAGTGCCGCTAATGGACTGATGTCACACAGAGCCTCAGCAGGTGGGAGACACTGCAGAGACAGACTGACAGAACCTGCAGTGCTGTTTCCCGCTCCAGGTCACCTTGACACTTACTGAGTCCACTACAAGATACCATATGTTCACAACTTGAACTAAAATATACTGGATCACAGGTAGAAAGAGGGAGACGTGGTGTCTTGTTCAATGGCATTACGGGGGGGGGGGGGGGGGGGTAGCGCAGATTCTAACCACAAACCTGCCTTACTGTACGACAGTTGGCAGATACAGGATATTCCCAACTTTTACTTAACATCAAAAACTGAAGAGGAGGAAAGATAAATATTTCAAAACATTAACTAAATATTGTTCAGTGTTATCACCAGGCAGAGAAGATGTTGCAGAATGCATTTACTGTAGCTAGCTAACATCAAATTACTCCCAGTGGTTATCCACGTACATTAGAGGGCTGCAGCTTTTAACAAACGGCCACAAACATGCTTTAGTGAGTGCAAGACAAAAAGTGCAAGACAACCAATTAGTTAAATGCTCACAAAATGAAGCATCTAATTGCTGGAGCTCAATGTGGAAGTGAATGGAGTGTATTATCTGTATGGGGAGTTAGTGCCTTCAGAGAGTATTCATACCCCTTGACTTATACCACATTTTGTTGTGTTAAAGCCTGAATTCAAATTTGATTAAATATATTTTTTTCACCCATCTACACACAATACTCCAGAATGACAAAGTGAAAACATGTTTTTAGAAATGTTTGCACATTTACTGAAAATGAAATACAGAAATATCTCATTTACATAAGTATTCACACCCCTGAGTCAATACTTTGTAGAAGCACCTTTGGCAGCGATTACAGCTTTGAGTCTTTGGGTAAGTCTCTAAGAGCTTTGCACACCTGGATTGTACAATATTTGCCCATTATTCCTTTCAAAATTCTTCAAGCTCTGTCAAGTTGATTGTTGATCATTGCTAGACAGCCATTTTCAAGTCTTGCCATAGATTTTCAAGCCGATTTAGGTCAAAACTGTAACTAGGCCACTCAGGAACATTGTCTTGGTAAGTAACTCCGGTGTAGATTTGGCCTTCTGTTTCAGGTTATTGTCCTGCTAAAAGGTGAATTAATCTCCCAGTGTCTGGTGGAAAACAGACTGAACCAGGTTTTCCTCTAGGATTTTGCCTGTGCTTTGCTCCATTCGGTTTCTTTTTTATTCTGAAAAACTCCCCAGTCCTTGCCGATGACAAGCATACCCATAACATGATGCCGCCAATAACATGCTTGAAAATATGAAGAGTGGTACTAAGTGATGTGTTGTGTTGGATTTGCCCCAAACATAATACTTTGTATTCAGGACAAAAAGTTAATTTCCTTACCTTGTTGCAAACAGGATGCATGTTTTGGAATATTCTTATTCTGTACAGGCTTCCTTCTTTTCACTCTGTCATTTAGGTTAGTTGTGGAGTAACTACAATGTTGTTGATCCATCCTCACTTTTCTCATATCACAACCATTAAACTCAGTTACTGTTTTAAATTCACCACTGGCCTCATTGTGAAATCCCTGAGTAGTTTCTTTCCTCTCCAGCAACTGAGTTAGGAAGGATGCCTGTATAGTTGTAGTGACTGTGTATTGATACACCATCCAAAGTGTAATTAATAACTTCCCCATGCTCAAAGGGATATTCAGCATCTGCTTTTTTATTTTATCTACCAATAGGTATTGAAAAACCTCCCTAGTATTTCTGGTTTAATCTTTGCTTGAAATTCACTACTGGATTAAATGACTTTACAGATAATTGTATGCATGGTGTAAAGAGATGGGGTAGTCATTCAAAAATCATGTTAACCACTATTATTGAACATGGAATGAGTTCATGCAACTTATGTGATTTGTTAAGCACATATCTACTCCCAAACGTATTTAAGCTTGCCATAACAAAGGGGTTGAATACTTAATGACTCAAGAAATGTCAGCTTTAAATGTTTTATTAATTTCCTAAATGTTCAACCAAAAATGTCCACTTAGACATTATGGGGTATTAAGTGTAGATCAGTGACACAAAATCTCAATTTAACACAAAATGTGGAAAGAGTAAAGGGGTGAGAATACTTTCTGAAGGCACTGTATATGGTCATTCTTTGAGTTAGAGTTTTCCTGTGATCTTCTTTTAGTTTTACACCACAGGGTCTTCATCTTTGAACAGTAAGGGGCAGAGAGCACGTCCCTTCAAAGGGCTTTCCATTAGACCACCATTACCGTAATGTATTATTCATGTGTGTGTTTATAATGAATGTGATGTGGTGGGGGATGTGAACAGGTTTAAACAAATTAATTATTATTATTATTATTATTATTATTATTATTTAATTGGAGTTCCGGTCCAGAGTTGTGTGCGGCTGCTCGGCCACGGAAACTCATTTCATGAAGCAAACAGTTCTTGTGCTGACGTTGCTTCCAGAGGCTGTTTGGAAGTCGGTAGTGAATGTTGCAACCGAGGACAGGCAATATTTACGCGCTTCAGCACTTGGCGGTTACGTTCTGTGAGCTTGTGTGGCCTACTACTTCACGGCTGAGTCGTCATTGCTCCTAGACGTTTCCACTTCCACAGCTCTAGCAGGGCTTCCACAGCTCTAGCAGGGCAGAAATTTGACAAACTGACTTGTTGAAAAGGTGGCATCCTATGACGGTGCCAATGTTTGTCTATGGAGATTGCATGGCTGTGTGCTCGACTATAAACAACTGTCAGCAATAGGTGTGGCTGAAATAGACGAATCCACTAATTTGAAAGGGTGTCCACATACTTATGTATATTTGGTGTAAGTGACATGTGACTATATATGTGTGTATGTTTGTGTTTCACCTTGTGTGCAGTGACGGCAAACTGCTCAGCACTGTTCTTCATCTCCCCTGTTTTTTCCTCAGCCCGGCCTAACCGCTCCCCTCGCTCGTTCAGCGCCTGGCTGGCCTTCTGTACAGCGCTGGTAACACTGTCTGCTGCAGAGTGGAGTATACTGTTACCTGGAGAGGAGAGAGAGACAGGGGGAGCAGAAGGAGAAGGGGGAGGAGGCAGGGAGAGAGGAGGGTGATATAGAGAGAGGGGAAAAGACAGAGAGAAAGAGAAAAATGAGAGGGAGGGGATGGGATAAATACAATCAATTATACATTGCCTTCTATCTTAACATTATCAACAAAATAACTATGCAGCACTGATATGAGTTTGGTACAAATCCCCTGCTTTATAAGATAATGCTGATGTTTCATTCAGCAACCTTGGCGGGACTTTAATTATTGACAAGGAAAAATAGGGTTACTCCAAATCAGGGACGTCCAAGGAAGCCAGCTAATGAGTTGTTCTACAGAGATTGGTTTCCTGTGAGAAACGAGCCAATGAAATTAAAAACCTCTTGTCACACTCCTCATTTGCAAAGCTTAGACCTCATCGGTCTATCACGCCATTTCTCTCAAATTGAACTGAAACAACCTCCTCACTACTTGAAAGTGTACCAGACAGCTCCAGGTGTTTCTCTTCTTTTCTTTGGCAAAACTTTAGTGTCAGCTCCTCCTCTTTTCTTACTCTCAGACTAAAGTGTGATAATGGCGGAGAGGGGAGGGAGTGTCTGACAATCCCTGGCAGCACAACTGTGTGGATGAGAGGTAAGAACAGAACAGTCTCCCTCCGATAGCCCCGACCCTGCGGATGTTTCAAACTGGCAAGCTATTAATCTAAGCTTTAGGCGCAGTCTCCCCAAAGCTTTCCCTTCAGAGCCATTACCCTGGCATAGCGCCAGTGCTTTATAATCATTGCTTTATGTGGTTATATATCCAAGGGAGGCACCACTTTAAACAGTTTTGAGCATTGTTTTTCATTTGAAGTGTCTTCTATTGCTGACCCTGCTTGGGTTATTTTGTTGTCCGGGAAGGAGGACAATGGGGGATGTTTTTTCATCAGTTGTTCCAAAGCTGTGAACGAGCCATTCTTCAGCAGAACTGGGGACTGGCACTGCAATGTTCTGTATGCACAATGGACAAAAAGAAACACCACCAAAAAAAGAGGCCAGCTCTAACAATGTGCTCCTCTCAACTGGCTGGCTGTGGAAGGAATAGAAATACAATGGAACTCAATGTAACTGATGCTTTAACTGTTAGAAGACCTTAGGTGCAGTATGGGATGGCCTCTTGGGGTTACAGTTCAGGACCAAATATCACATGCAATGGCACTTACAAATGTAGATCCTTCAAAACACCCCCAAACAGGGAAACAGATCCCAATCAAAGGTGTTATCATGTGCTCCACTAAGGCAGTTATTTATCTTATAACTTGCCCTTGTGGCAAAAATTATGTGGGTAAAACAAAGCGCGAATTAAAAGTAAGAATCTCTGAGCATCGTAGCACCATTAGGTGCAAAAACTCGACGTACCCAGTTGCGGCCCACTTTTTGGAAGCGAACCACTATTCCATCCCTACGTTATATCGGCATCGAACATGTCACCCTCCCTATGAGAGGGGGTGACCTTGACAATTTATTGTTAAAATGAGAGGCTGCCTGGATATTTTATTTAAAGACCCTTGCTCCCTTCGGTCTCAACGTAGACTTTGATCTGAAGCCATTCTTGTGATTATTGTGATTTTGCTATTCATTGTAAATGTTTGTAGGCCTATGTAGCCAAATTGTATCTATGATCGATCGTATGCTATCCATTCAGGTTTTTTATATATTCTATTTATATCTGTAAATTAACCACTGATATCAAGCCACACCCGGCCATGATTACAAACCCTTGTGTCCTTAGAAACTATATAAACTAGTAACCCACAGTGTTTGTCATTATACCCTGATGAAGACAGCTTGTCTGTCGAAACGTTGGTTATTAGATTATTCAATTATTGCATCTGAGCTCCTTGAGTGTGCAGCTCTCCTTTTCTTTATTAACAGTTCAGGACCAAACATCCCATGAGTTCAAAACCGATCATATACAATCACAGATCACATTTTATAAAGCGGCTATGGCAATATAACAATCACACAATATATTTAGTTTTCCCACTTATCTGAAGGGACTGTATAGGTAGAAAATAAGACTTATTGCTTCTACATCCGCTTTGAGATCATTTAATTGGAAGATAGAGGACATCCAGGTTCTGCTGCCGGAGAGGAAAGCCAGTAAAGGTAGAGACACGGCCAGTCATTTTAACGTCTTCCCAAAGGGAATACACACTGTAGAGTGTACAGTTGTGGTCCAAAGTTTTGAGAATGACACAAATATTAATTTTCACAAAGTCTGCTGCCTCAGTTTTTATGATGGCAATTTGCATATACTCCAGAATGTTATGAAGAGTGATCAGATAAATTGCAATTCATTGCAAAGTCCCTCTTTGCCATGAAAATGAACTTAATCCCCCCAAAAAAACACTTCCACTGCATTTCAGCCCTGCCACAAAAGAACCAGCTGACATCATGTCAGTGATTCTCTCATTAACACGGGTGAGAGTGTTGACGAGGACAAGGCTGGAGATCACTCTGTCAAGCTGATTGAGTTAGAATAACAGACTGGAAGCTTTAAAAGGAGGGTGGTGCTTGAAATCATTGTTCTTCCTCTGTTAACCATGGTTACCTGCAAGGAAAGACGTGCCGTCATCATTGCTTTGCACAAAAAGGGCTTCACAGGCAAGGATATTGCTGCTACTAAGATTGCACCTAAATCAACCATTTATCGGATCATCAAGAACTTCAAGGAGAGAGGTTAAATTGCTGTGAAGAAGGCTTCAGGGCGCCCAAGAAAGTCCAGCAAGCACCAGGACCGTTTCCTAAAGTTAATTCAGCTGCGGGATCGGGGCACCACCAGTGCAGAGCTTGCTCAGGAATGGCAGCAGGCAGGTGTGAGTGCATCTGCACGCACAGTGAGGCGAAGACTTTTGGAGGATGGCCTGGTGTCAAGAACGGCAGTGAGAAAGCCACTTCTCTCCAGGAAAAACATCAGGGACAGACTGATATTCTGCAAAAGGTACAGGGATTGGACTGCTGAGGACTGGGGTAAAGTCATTTTCTCTGATGAATCCCCTTTCCGATTGTTTGGGGCATCCGGAAAAAAGCTTGTCCGGAGAAGACAAGGTGAGCGCTACTATCAGTCCTGTGTCATGCCAACAGTAAAGCATCCTGAGACCATTCATGTGTGGGGTTGCTTCTCAGCCAAGGGAGTGGGCTCACTCACAATTTTGCCTAAGCCATGAATAAAGAATGGTACCAACACATCATCCGAGAGCAACTTCTCCCAACCATCCAAGAACAGTTTGGTGACGAACAATGCCTTTTCCAGCATGATGGAGCACCTTGCCATAAGGCAAAAGTGATAACTAAGTGGCTCGGGGAACAAAACAAATTTTGGGTCCATGGCCAGGAAACTCCCCGGACCTTAATCCCATTGAGAACTTGTGGTCAATCCTCAAGAGGCGGGTGGACAAACAAAAACCCACAAATTCTGACAAACTCCAAGCATTGATTATGCAAGAATGGGCTGCCATCAGTCAGGATGTGGCTCAGAAGTTAATTGACAGCATGCCAGGGCAGATTGCAGAGGTCTTGAAAAAGAAGGGACAACACTGCAAATATTGACTCTTTGCATAAACTTAATGTAATTGTCAATAAAAGCCTTTGACACTTATGGAATGCTTGTAATTATACTTCAGTATACCATAGTAACATCTGACAAAAATATCTAAAAACACTGAAGCAGCAAACTTTGTGAAGACCAATATTTGTGTCATTCTCAAAACTTTTGACCACGACTGTATACAGGTAGGCTGACTGACTGATAGATAATTGGCAGAGTTGTGGCACAGCGGGGAAGATGACAGCCCAAAGCAGATGGAATGCCAGCTGGTGTTACTCTCCTCTCTTCTCACCTCTGCTTTCCTTCAAAGGAAGTTAACTTGATAAAGTCAAAGCCGTCCACTCACACAGACCTACTGGGAGGAAGAAAAGCTTTCCCCAGGTTTCTCTCCGAGACAGGCTAAAGCACCAATAGATAGATAGCAGAGTTGCCCTTCCCTCAAGGCTCTGGGTTTTATTACAGTCCAGGGAAGGAGAAGTGTTTATTTAGCATCTTCGTCACAGTAGTGAAAACGAAGTACTTGTATTGGGACACAAGTGTCGAGTCTTCCTCTATGTCCCCCTCCCATCCCTTAAAAAAACAATCATCTTCCCCTGAAACCAGAGGAGGGATGCTCTTCACCTCCATCCAGATCACTGCCTTATTGCCTGCGTCCGTAACGGGTCCGCGGTCAAACGACCACCCCTCATCACTGTCAAACGCTCCCAAAAACACTTCAGCGAGCAGGACTTCCTAATTCACCTGGCCCAGGTATCCTGGATGGATATAGATCTCATTCCGTCAGTAGAGGATGCCTGGTTGTTCTTTAAAAGTAATTTCCTCTCAATCTTAAATAAACATGCCCCATTCAAAAAATACAGAACTAAGAACAGATATAGCCCCTGGTTCTCCTCAGACTTGACTGCCCTTGACCAGCACAAAAACATCCTGTGGCGTACTGCATTAGCATCAAATAGCCCCCGCGATATGCAACTTTTCAGGGAAGTTAGGAACCAATATACACAAGTAGTTAAGAAAGCAAAGGCTAACTTTTTCAAACAGAAATTTGCATCCTGTAGCACTAACTCCAAAAAGTTTTGGGACACTGTAAAGTCCATGGAAAATAAGAGCACTTCCTCCCAGCTGCCCACTGCACTGAGGCTAGGAAACACTATCACCACCGATAAATCTACAATAATCGAGAATTTCAACAAGCATTTTGCTACGGCTGGCCATGCTTTCCACCTGGCTACCACTACCCCTGCCACCAGCTCTGCACCCTCCGCTGCAACTTGCCCATGCCCCCCCGCTTCTCCTTCACACAAATCCAGACAGCTGATGTTCTGAAAGAGCTGCAAAATCTGGACCCCTACAAATCATCTGGGCTAGACAATCTGGACCCTTTCTTTCTAAAACTAGCCGCCGAAATTGTCGCAACCCCTATTACTAGCCTGTTCAACCTCTCTTTCGTAACGTCTGAGATTCCCAGAGATTGGAAAGCTGCCGCGGTCATCCCCCTCTTCAAAGGGGGTGAAACTCTAGATCCAAACTGTTACAGACCCATATCCATCCTGCCCTGCCTTTCAAAAGTTTTTGAAAGCCAAGTCAACAAACAGATCACCGACCATTTCGAATCCCACCGTACCTTCTCCGCTATGCAATCCGGTTTCCGAGCTGGTCATGGGTGCACTTCAGCCACGCTCAAGGTCCTAAACGATATTATAACCGCGATCGATAATAGACAGTACTGTGCAGCCGTTTTCATTGACCTGGCCAAGGCTTTCGACTCTGTCAACCACCGCATTCTTATTGGCAGACTAAATAGCCTTGGTTTCTCAAATGACTGCCTCGCCTGGTTCACCAACTACTTCTCAGATAGAGTTCAATGTGTCAAATCGGAGGGCCTGTTGTCTGGACCTATGGCAGTCTATGGGGGTGCCACAGGGTTCAATTCTTGGGCCGACTCTTTTCTCTGTGTATATCAATGACGTCGCTCTTGCTGCTGGTGACTCTCAGATCCACCTCTACGCAGACGACACCATTTTGTATACATCTGTCCCTTCATTGGACACTGTGTTAACAAACCTCCAAACGAGCTTCAATGCCATACAACACTCCTTCAGTAGCCTCCAACTGCTCTTAAACACTAGTAAAACTAAATGCATGCTCTTCAACCGAACGCTGC